GGGGGGGGGGGGGGGGGGGGGGCGGGGGCAGTGAACATGGAATCTACAGTAAAGTGTGTTGGTAGTCGCCCGATTATGAGAATAACATACAGTTACCGCCCGCTCAGAAGAACTTGACAGTTGAGAAAATTGAGCCAACAATACTCAAAATCTTGAGCACCGTTTATTGTGGGGCGGTGAGAACCACAGGGAAGAGGTATCGAGAGCGCAGCAGGGAGGATGAGGAAGACCTTGAGCACGGCGCAAGAGAAGGAATTGAACCACGCGGGCGGCAGCGCAGCCGGGCTGAGAAACAACATGTCGTTCACGTCTACCATTCCGACGCCTTCGTTGGTCCAAGGCCAACGACATTGATGTCTTTTTTTTTCATTTTCTTAGACTACGCATCGTATGAAACAGCGAACCCATCTCTATACAATATCCATAGAGAAAGGGTGTAATAGGTAGGTTAGTTAGCAAATGGTTCGTAGCTTCAGCGCTACAACATGCTCCTACAATAGTAGCATATCATACATACCTACAGATATTTCTTTTTTTATTTTTCAAGAAAAATCAAAGACCCGGAAATCAAAACCCCTAAAAACGCGAAGATAGCATGTGGTTGGTACAGGCAAAGAGAACACGAACCACCACACAAACCCCAATATGTACTCAATTTGTGATGATGGCCGATCGCGTTCCACATGAGACAATCGGGATTTCGCCTACCTCTACACGCTGCGATGTACTATATCTAGATAGACTATACATGCTGAAACCGTGACGCCACACCACAACCACGCGCCGCCAGCCAGGGGGGGGGTGGATATGAACACGCGGCAGGGAGAAAATAATCGTTTACGCATGCTTCTGTGTGCATAATGCATGTACATACGTCACGTACGTAGCGTACTAGACAGGTCACACAGATCACACAAATGCTGTGTTTGGTGCCGCTCGGGAAACCGCAGAAATACAGGTAGTTTCTGACGCTAATAATAATAAATACAAGATTAATTCATTGCTAATCTCCCATTTACTCTTTTCTTACATTTTTTTTTTTTTTGTCTTCACTTCAAATCATCTCAGCGCTCACAGCACTAGTGCCGTTTACTCCAAAACCCGTGGTCACACAGAAGAGCCCCTCTCTTCCTCCCCTCCTGCGGAACTTTGCCTTCGATTTTTAATGCGAGAAGAGTTCAACACTCTCTTCCCTCTGTGTACACACGAACTATGTAGCGCTATATTCACTAGGCCAGGAGCGGAAGCGAGGGAAAAACTCACTTTGCAAGAAAAGCTTACACATTGTGATACAAACAATACCACGTACGCCTTTGCGTCGGATGGAGATGGAACTGTTGTTTAAATAAAAAAAAAAATGAAATGTGAACCATCACAGGCAAGGTTGCAACCCCCGCCCACGAGCCATCCCCGAAAAGTATTCCGTGATGGTCCGAACGCGGCGTTCCCATGGATCATGGGATGGCGGAAACTGACGGAATACACTACTTTTCTGTAAGGGACAAGATTCATCGGACGATCGGGCGAATGTTCTGACGTTATTTTCGCAAGTTGTGGTCGGACACACGAAGGGATGGATGTGGTTGTTGAAAGAGCAACTTCTGAGTTGTAGTCCAAAAAAATAAAAAACTTGTTCGACGTGAACGTGGAGGGGAGTCGGTGCTTTGGCATGAGGCGTACGTGTGCTTGTTAAACGCAACCTTTTCAGTGGGTTAGACACAAGTGCATCTCCCTCGCTCTGTAACGTACAGAAGTAACGTACAGAAGTATATCCCCAGCTGTTCAATGTACCCCTTGCCCGTCGAGCCTTTTTTCTCTGCCGGAGAGCCAGTGTGAACGGAAAAAATGTCTGCATGAAGTGCACATAGCACGTACACGTTGTATTTGCATCGGCGTCGTCATTAGCTGTACTTTGAAAGAGTTTTCGCCGCTGATGCACCTACCTGGGATCCCATGGCCTGCCGTAAAAGCGCGCACGCACCGGTGGTTGTTGGGTAACTGCGCTTACATTCTGTACCCAGCGCTGCTGGTGCGTTGGTTCGGCAAACAGCTCTATCCCCTTGAAGATCCAAATTGTTCATCTGCTCGTTAGGTGACGGTTACGTTTTCACACACATACGCGAGCGCGCGGCAGATTTATTCCATCACGTGTGGAGCGATAGCGGAGTGCTACCCAGAGCAGCTTGGGGGTGGGGAGGCACGTCACCGCAAACGGGTTGGTAGAGACAGACGGCTTGCCGCACCCTCTTTAGATGACAAGATTGGCGTCGCGAATATTCTGTCGGCGTGTGCGGAACCGCAGGGAGAAAGCTGGCGGTCGTGGAAGAGGAACAGCGGCGGCGGAGGCGTGAGCAGGCAAGGCAGCAGCAACAAGCGCAGCAACAAGTTGCGTTTTCGTTGTTTCCTCGCCACGCTGAGGAAAAGGTGGCGGCGAGACGATGGAAAGCCCCGCGTTGCGCTGTGCCTCGGACGCACGGCCCGGGGTCCATGGTGGTCGCAAGGGGTCGTGCCAGGCGATGGAGAACGGCTACGTGAACAACAACAACCTGCTGTTTACTGGATCATCTCTACCTCAGCAGCAGCCGCAGCAGCAGCATGACGGCGGTGACAGCAGCAGTGCACAGCACCACCAACAGCAGCGGGCTGGCGACCCCGACGCGAAGAAGGTGAGCACTCTCCTCGCCGCCGCCGCACAGCAGCAGCAGCCGCAGGATCGTAGGGTGGCGTCGTGCGTGTCGGTCGGGGAACAGCAGTAAACAAAACACGGTTGATGTTGTGCAAGTCTCGCCGCGTCCGCCTCCTCGCTGCGTGCTGTGTGGTGCCGGGTACCGCGATGCGTTTCTTACGGCAGAGAATGAAGCAGCGCGAGGTGCAGGACGCTTGTAGCCCCTGGCTTATCCATCCTTCAATTGTCAACGCCAGCAGCCTCTAGACGGAAGGTCGAGATCAACGTCGCTCTGTGTATGATGTACTGAGAAGACTTTGCGCCTGCACATACACATACATACCCCATGAAGAGCCCGCGAAAACACTACTTGTCAACCGCTGCAGCAGCAGCACTGACTCCTCTGCGTCATGTCCGACACGATGGGTGAAGCTGCTGTCTTTCTTCCTGTTTTGTTTAACGCGTTATCCTCCTGTCAAATCATCGCTGCGTGGTACTGCGACCACTCGACACGCCTACCGTGTGTTTGTTCAGCTTTCGCTGCGGCTGCTGCAAAGAATATCACTGGATCTGGTCCCTAATGCTGCGGTGGCAATTTTCTCTTTGAGTGGCTTGTTGAACAAGCCGGCACCGCTGGCGTGTGCATTCATGCTGTCAAAAGGAAAATTCGAAAATTCGAAAATGGCGACAACCCAGCTTCTTAGGAACGTCCCGATGCGATCTCAGATACTATGTATTTCAGGGATCAGGAGCACCGACATGCGCGTTGGCGTGCTCAGATTCGGCTGCTGGGGCTGTCATATCGAATGCTACTCGGACCTGCCGTGTCGCCTGTGTTTGTCTTGGATTTAGATATGATGGTATGTTGTCTTGATTTGAGACTGCGCACGGAGGTGTACAGTAGTAGACTACCGGACGCTGATACTGGTATGTACCTGCGTTGGTGGAAGCAGTTCTCGACAGCTTCTCTGTTCGACAACCAACAATGTACCTAGACTATATTTTTGTTCTCTTTGCGCGGAACACCTCCTCCGATGAACGCGGGTCTTACATATTTTTCGGGTACATAAATTGTACGTACACGTCAGCAGCAGTGCTGATCTCTGTCCACGGTGTGCGAGAGCGTGTGCTCTTTGGTCGTGTTCGAACTCAGTCAACACCTACATCTCAAGATAAAACACAACCCCGCACCCTTGAACCTCTAGGAAGACGATGACGTTGACCACCGGGCATGCCTTCAGTAGTGCCGGCTCGCCCATGAGAAACGTCCTCAAAACAATCGAGGCTCAATATTCTAGAAAAATTGGCTCACTGCTGTACGTGCAACACCTTCTTTCTCTGTGGGTATAGGTTCTTGCTGGGTATAGCTGTTTTTACGCACCGACCACGAGCGTACAACAAGCACCCGTTTGTCATGGCCTCCCACCCGGCGTTGATGATAGAATTTGTTGCATTCAAGGCCCGCCTCCGGAGGGGGCTCATCAAAGCAAGCAGTAGTAACTATTGAATCATCGAGCCGTAATGTAAAAGTAGTATTTTTTTGTAGAAAAATTTGCGAAGCGGGAGTAGTAAACAAAGGCCAGGCGAGTCTCAAGAAGGCTCACACGGCACGGGTGTTGCGAATGAAGGCAATCTGGCCCCCATGGTTTTCAGCTGCATACGCAAACAACTATACTGTAGGCCTGACTCTAGAAAGCTTGGCGGCTTCCGTGGAACAGGTGCGCACGGCTGGGACGGTGACGTAAACCGCGGGTCTCACGGAGGTCGGCTGACCAATGAAAATTCGCCAGTCTTGTACCGAGACTTGTAACATATCGCGAACAATTTGTGGAATTTCGTTCCCGTCTTTACAGTAGCTATGTACACTGACGTGGATGATTTCGGAGATTTTCCTGTCTGTGCTGTGACCATCGATTTACCGAAAACAGCGAAAGGTGCTGAAGGCGGCGAAGCGTGTCATATTCCTGTGTGCCGCGAGGTGCTCTCTCTCGGTCAATTGTGCTAACCCTGGGCCATCTACTGTACACACGAGACGGGAAGGGTTTTGATGAAATGGCATTGTCGCCCTGGCTGTTGCTGGGCTTGCCGGGCCCATCTATTTGTAGCCACAAGTTTTTTCTGTGCGAATGTGCCGCAGGCAGAGCGGAGCGCCATTTTGGTTCATCCGATTGTTTCACGATGGTTTTTTCGGGGATTTATTGAGGTATTGGGGCTTGCTCTTAAGGCTCTGTCATACAACCCTATCGTGTCCTCTCACTCGTTACAGGCTTCGTCCCACACACACCCTGTCCTCAGCCCTCCTCTCCCCTCGCATTCCGCCCTGATGCTTGGTGTATTTCTCGGTTGGGGGCTCCGCTCTATGCGAAACTTGTCTCGGTGCATCCACGAAACAGTCTGCGGATTCTGACCTCGCGGCCTTGCTGTCGGCGGCACATGAGAGCTACAACCTCGGCAGGTGCGTGTGTGTGTCAGTGTTTGTAGCGCGGTGCGATGCCGTGCTGATGGTATTTTTTTCATGGTGCATGTTACGACTTCGAGATCGTGATGATTGGACGTGGCATGTAGTTCATTTTTTCGCGAAACGTGATTGTGACTCGTCTCCCTGATAGGTAGGTGTACTGCTGTATCTTCAGAACGGTCTCTATTTTGTTGTGATGAGACGATGTGGTATTGTTGAAATATCGCAGAACCATAGTGCTACTTCCAAGTACATGAGTTGGTGGTAAGCTGAAGGATGGCGTGAAAGTGTAGCAAATGACTCACTAACAGGCAGGTAATCCGATGCTATGGCCCCTCCTACAATTGGCTGACCTGGTCCTTCGTGCTCGTACGCACCTTCGTATTGGTAGACACGTGTGTCTGTGGCGGTCATGCTTGCCCTTCCCTCTTGTCCTTCCCTCTTGTCGTACACCCATGTTGGCCGCCGTTCACAAGAATGGACGGGCATGGCGATATCAGTCCCACTCGCTGCTCGCAAAACCTTAGTCTTTCTACCACAGCACCCCTAGCAAGGTTATGCACCACTGTCGTGTGCCCTGCCTAACCTATCTGGGTATGCTTGATCCCCCCCCCCCCCACCGTATCCCGCCCTTCATCTCTTCCATGGTGTTCAATATCTTGCGCAACACTCGAATCACGCCGTTTTCGTGACCCACGATCACATCGCTTGTTTAGTGTACGGTCAGACGCGTGCGATCAACAAACCTTTCGTGCGTCGCGCGACCAAACTACTGCGCAACCGCCCACCTTTGATCGCTTCGCAGATACAAAGATGCCCAGGCTTTGTGCGAGTCCGTGTACCGGCAGGGGGCGTGTCGGACCGATAACCTTCTTCTCCTTGGAGCCGTCCACTTTCAGCTCAGGAACTTTAGCGAGTGTGTTCTCTACAACCAGGTTTGTGGGCATGGGAGGGAGTAGATTTGCTGCTGTTGTTGTAAGGTGGTTTCAGTTTAACCCGGCGTTCGGGGCAGGGGGCAGGGGGTAGTAGCGTCGGACGAGCGGGTTGTTGAGAAGGCTGTGTTCTGTCGTGGTTGGTTGGTGGTGGTAATGGTATCACAGTCAGTTGTCCTCGTCTGCGCTGGTGCCGTCATTCTGTTTGCTGGCCTTGTCTCCTGCCTGTCGAAACGCGCCCCCTAACACCGGAGCTGCGGACTGTTCTTCATGTTGGGTTGGAAGGGGGGGAGGACAGGTTGTTATGCTGTAGATTGCCTGAAACGAGCACCGCCACCAACCCGTTCGATCACCAACAGAAACGACAAAAGACAACAACAACCGCAGCGATAGCACAACAGCAGCCGTACACCTCGCAATCCCTTCAAAAACCCGGAAGTATGCCATTCCACAGAATATCCCGGATTTCCCTCGTTTTTTTCTTCTCCATGTTGTGGGTCGCTTCTCTCACCGTCGTTCCGTACGTTTCCTCTTCAACCCCATCCACTCGCACGTGGTACGCAGCAATGTATCCGGATCGACCCAAACTTTGCCGAGGCGTATTCCAACCTCGGGAACGCCCTCAAGGAGCTGGGAGACGTGGGCGGCGCCATCCAGTTCTACCTCAAGGTATTTTTTATGTATTATTTTTCCGAGGTGCGTTTTTGTTTTTTTTCAAGGCGAAACCGCCTCTGCGATGATGACGCGTTTCTGATTTCGGCAATGAGGCCTCCGTTGTCCTGAATCTTCTTGTATTGTGCTCCTTCTTGTTGAAACCTGCCCTCTCAAGGTATCGACCGGTGTAGTAGACGAAGGCACGAGCGTTTTTTTTTTTCTGCTCAACCTCCGTGTATTCATTCGATGTTCACATGCTCTTTTTTTTTTTTTGCGCGCGATCTTGTGCGTTTTTGTTTTATTTATCTTGTAACTCTCTCCCCCGGCGGCGGTGGCAGGCGGTGAAGCTGAAGCCGCGTTTCTGCGACGCGTACAACAACCTGGCGTCGGCGTACATGCAGCTAGGGCACACCAAGGAGGCCATTGAGACGTACCAGGTGCGGCAGCGGCGACGTCCGTAACCTTTGCTAACTTTCTGTTATAGGGTGTCTGGAGTTTACCATGAGATGGTGCGTCACCATGGTTGTTTGGCGCTATCAGATGTTTTGTTGTGACGTCATTCAAAATTGCGGCTTTTTGCCGAGTCTTGTGCCCGTCTGTTGAGTGTGGGACGGGCTGCGATTCGTGCCGGCCTTTTTGCTGACCTTTGATCAGCACAGACCGGAGCGTCGCTGTTTTTTGTGTTGGCCGTGCCCTAAGCGTTAGGTGCAGCTGCATAACCTCCCTTTGTACCAGCACTCCGACAACCGACACTAAATAGGGTGCACGTGCCCTAAAGAGACTGAATATGGTATCGGGGCCAGTGCTCTTGGTGTCGCCGGGATACATACCCAGCGGGGGGAAAGGGGTCTTCTAGACGCGTAAATAGCAGGCTAACTCAAACGCATGCGTTGAAAAACACGATCTACCGTGCGCGGCGTATGGTGATACGTCCGGAACACGCACTACGGGGTGTTACTTCGTTTTCCTTTGCCAGTTTTCCGTACTCTCATTATTGTATTGCTTCGTTTTGTGTTTATTTTTTCTTGGGTGTCGTTATCGCTTTTCCACGCTCAAGTGAGGTTTTTGTTCTGCATCCCTTTGTTTCCTGGGTGTTCTCCCTTTTGTTCTCCTTGCGCGGTTCTCGCCATTCACGCCACGCAACGCAGATGGCCTTGGTGCTCAACCGAGGACTCGTGGATGCGCACAGCAACCTCGGCAACCTTTACAAGGCAAGCTCTTCTTCGCCCCATCGCCACAAGCCCGTCGCAATGCCAACCCCAATCAACCTACGCACTGCTGTGCACTCGGGAAACAAAATATTGTGGTTCGGGTTCCGCTATATGATTTCATTTCTTTGTAAAAAGGAAACGACCCATCGTTGTAAACTTAGAAAAGGTAGCTTGGGTGTGGGGTCCTTGCTGTTCGTTGTGCGCCCTCGAGCGTAATTTTTGCTGGCATGACTTCCGAGTTTTGCGTTCACCGTGGATCCTTGTGATGGCGTGTAACTGTATCGCGCGCCTATGGTTTTTATGCAGGCCCAGGGCATGCTGGCGGAGGCGAAGCGGTGCTACCTGGAGGCCATCCGGATCCAGCCGTCCTTCGCCATCGCCTGGAGCAACCTCGCGGGGATCTTTAAGGAGGAGGTCGGTTTTGTTGTTTTTGCTTTTCTCGCCGCGTTGGTCTTGTGTCCCTCGTAGCCTGTGTTGAAGCATTTTTTTTTTTTTTGCATCGACCGCGCTGTGTGGCCCCGGTTGGCCAATGAAAAGATGCAACGTTGGCAGAAGTTTAAGAAAGTCAAAGCTCCCGGACGGGGGCCAAAATTCGAAAGGCGGCTGTGTGTGTTGTGTGCGGGTCGCTTCAGAACCCCTGCCGTCGACAATGGTGCTGGTACATGTATTGCTGCCCCTCCTCTTGGCGTCTCTACCGAGGGGACTTTTGCAGTATCCCAGCGCTCTGCTTTCGGTTGAAGTACGCACGGTGCTGCTGCTTGTAATAGTGCTACTGGTGGTGCTTCTTCGGCCGTAGTCACTTTTGTCTACGAGGAACATTATGCTCCGGGGGGGGGGGCGTCGAGAACTGCCGCTGCTGCCCATACCCCCCTCCTCTTGCCTTGCTAATAGTTCACACTTCTGTTTGTGTTTCCAGGGTAACCTTACCACGGCGGTTGCCTACTACCGCGAGGCAATACGGCTGTGCCCGGAGTTCGCCGACGCCCACAGCAATCTCGGGAACGTCCTCAAGGTATCTACGATATCTACGGTATCTACGAAACAACGTTTCTGCGAACACTTCAGCGTTTTTGCCGCCACTTGTAGCAGTACTCCGTTCGGTGCTTCACCCTTGTGGGCGGATAGTGTTTGCCGTCCAGTCAGTAAGTGGACCAGATAGCGGGCGATCAGCTAGCAACAACACGAGAATGCAAAATGTGTGCGGTGATTCTCCTCTCGCACACATTTCATGCAGAAGTAGCCACTCTTGAGGACGCGAACGGCGGGCAGTCGTCATCTGTCTGGGAAGGACAACAAATACGCGATCTGTTCTAATACTAGCTCATCAGATTGCTGCTTGAAAATTAATTGGTACAGGTGTATGCGGCGTCCCGAGACCACTTGTTTTGATGCCCTCAACCAGAGCATCGACGTATACCCTGTTCAGGTATCTTTGGCCGCTGCACGTGAAAGTTGCCTTCCTTTCTGTGTCTTGCCTAGATATACATCGTGGCTACGATACGGTTCAAGAGAGGACTGGGACAATCCAGCAGCACTCTGTGATATCCGATTTTCTCTTTAATTCCCTCTCTTAAACCGTGTTCGCTACTGCGGTAGAAGTCTCAGCTTCTCAAATATGTTCTTGCTCTGCTCATTACAATTATTGTGTCCCTTGTTTCCGTTTTGTTTTTTTTTCCTGCAGGAGAGGGGACTTGTTCACGACGCGATGCAGTGCTACCAGACGGCCATCAAGCTCCGGCCCGACTTCGCCATCGCGTACGGCAACCTGGCCAGCTGCTACTACGACTGCGGGTGAGTGGCGTTGCTGCTTGCTTGTGGTGTCTTGGGACTCATTGTTGTTGTTCTTGTTACTTATCGTAGTCGATGGGGTCGCCCCGCCATACCCTCGGAGCAGGACTAATACAAAGTCCTCTATCTGCAGGCGCCTCGTGTGGATGTTTTGATCCGAGGGCCGAGAGCGAGACTGGCAGAACGCCTCGATTTTTGGGTTCGTGACGTTGTTTTGTTCGATTCGCCTGGTTGAAGGGTGCAGCTGGTACGCGTGGCGTGTCTGCGAATGACTCAAAGCTCTTCTTGGGTCGGTAAGATGCGTTCCGTCTCCCTCGTTTTTCGTACAAAAACACTAACGCCCAAGGTCAGACTTTCACAACCGCAGCGTGCCGGCTTTCCTGTTCGTTATTGGCGTCTCGATAAACTCTGCACCTAGCGGGAATCAACTCCAGGTGCCTCTGTGGACCATCAAGCCAATCTATCCTTCGTTATCGTCTATCTTGTCGTTGTTGTGCCGTGCGGGTTACTTGCCTGACCTGCAGGTGTCAGGACCTGGCCATCAAGACGTTCCGGTACGCGATCCAGCTGGAGCCAAACTTCCCGGACGCGTACAACAACCTCGGCAACGCCCTCAGAGAGTCCGGACAGTTGGAGGTGCGGGGACACGGGGTGTCCTTTCCGCATGCGTCTCTGGCAAACCACAGGGAAAACATCTTTGATTTGAATATGTTTTGTTTGGGCTAGCGTGTGTTCTGTTCGTGTGGATTTATATCGTGGCTGCTGCCGTCACGGTACAGGAGGCGAAACGAACGATCCCCCCGTGTATCGTCGCTAGCGTCGGGGCTGTGCTCCGGCCGCATGTGCGCGTTCGTGAGTGCATGCGGGTGGGCGGACGTTTGTTGGGGTAGGTGTTGTTTTCACCCCCACTGGTGCCAAGCACGAGGAAGTGAACGAATGAACGCACATCTGTGCCTATTATAGCGTTAGGTAGCGTTTGGTAGCGCTTGGTAGCTGGCGATTGCAACTGCGTGAAAGCAACGCATTACTGTCTCGCCTGTTTTTTGGCCGCCACGACGCGATGCTGTGCGTATTCGATGGGATGCCGTACGAAACACGCAGGAGGCGATCAACTGCTACCGGACTACCTTGCGCCTCAAGCCGGACCACCCCCACGCCTACAACAACCTGGGGAACGCTATGAAAGACAAGGTAACCCTAGGCCTTCGCCTTGCTTTTTGTTGGTGGTGGTGATGTTTCTGAAAGTATCTTCACCTCTACCGTTGACCTTTTCGGGTGACGTTATGCTAGAGTTTAGCCGGCTACATCTTCATTTGTGTACACATGCGTTAGTTGTTCCAAGGCTTGAACACCAAGAAGTCGACGCTGGGCAAAGTCAGCGGCCGGCCGTTGCGTCCCTGACCCCCCCCCCCCCCAACA